TGTGGTTTAGATCACTGTTTCTGAAATACCCGTGAAGATCAGGATTATACTTTATCTTCAGCAACCAATGCTTGTCGTGAGAGGCGACTAACAGGATCGGGTGGTCACGCTCCCTGACTTGGTTGATGCATGTCATCGTATCCCAAATGCTGTCATTCACTGGATTGTCTGGTCCAGACTCGGTTATTTACAGACCGTCGTCATATATCGGGATTGTTGCTGAGTGCGGCGTAAAACAACAAACAAAAGTCACCCAAGGCGCAGCCAGGAAGAAAGCTACAATTGATGATGTCTTGCTTTCCCTTCACATTTTCTTAATCTATTGGGGGCATACAACATGTAGTCAGTGTATATAATATACCATGGATAATACTGGAATAATAATAATAATAAACATTTTAGACCCTAAACACTTTTAACTGTTAAACACTACGAAAGCATATTGGTGGCACTTTGGTAGTATATATATATTCCTCGTTATTTCAATAAATTGTTGTTTTTTTCTCGACATTTGAGTTTTTCTCCTTATTTTTATTTTATATTTTTGTGATTTCAATTATTTTCTCGGTACTTCGAGTTTTTTCTCGAAATTGCGATTATTTTCTCGTTGTTTCAAGTTTATTTCAAAAACTAGAAATTTCAATTATTTTCTCGTTGCTTCGAGTTTTTTCTCGTTACATCAAGTGCATTTCAAAAACTCGAAAATTTTCGAGAAAATAATCCAAATAACGAGAAAATAATTAAAATTTCGAGTTTTTGTAATAAACTTGAAATAACGAGAACATAATCGAAATTACGAGAAAATAATCGAAATAACGAGAGAAAAATCGTAATTTAGTGAAAATAACTGAAATAAGGAGAAAATAATCGAAGTAACGAAAAATGTCTGTTTTAAAAAAAAAACATTAATGCTACCAAAGTGGCACCATTAGGCTTTCGCAAAACACAACCCTCAACATGTTTCGACCCCAAAAGCGTAAAAATTGTGGGACCAGAAACGCGCTTAGGTTTGTGTTCAGGATGTGAACACGTTTTTCAGTGATTGAGTATACTTAACATATTTTACATTGCTTAGGAAGAGACACGGTTTAATTGATGCTTAATACCTCGTCAGGTACTCTTGATTGGTACATTAAACGTAATTTTCTCCTCATTGTATATCGTGTACATGGTGGAGACAATGGAAGTCTCTTATTGTGAATGAGTGAAAATGCACAATGAATCAGTATAAGTAAAGAGGATATCAGTTCATAGGGGTTCATTGAGTGCCATCATTGGTACAATCGCGTGTAATGTGTTTTCATTATGTATGAATGTAGTAATTGCCGTTACTGTAGTCATACAGCTTAGCAAGACAAACGGCAACGGCTACATGAAATGATAAACAAAACATATTTCCTATATAGACCAGTCCCCTGTCGAGATTCTAGGTTAGCGGAATGGGTGTTCAGCGCGTGTGCAGCCCGTTGAGCATCCGTGTGCATAGACTGGTTCCCGGATCAAAAGTTTAGATTTTAAAAGATACACGGAATAACGCCGTGAATTCAGTGAAATGCCAAAAGTAGATCTCGTGATATTCACGATCAGAGACCATATACCATCGTTATATGTTCTCTGTCACACAGACCTTATTTCCCGAGGTCGTGTTAGTAATTTTGTAATTGGATTTTGAGTTTTATTTAACTTTAAAATGAGAGTGGAAGAGGAGAGATATGTATGTCCTTGTGGCATCTACAGGGTTATGGTGGGCGATACCAGTCACATTGTCACATGCCATGGTATATATGGTCTCTGATTGTGAATATCGCTAGTTCTACTTTTGGCATTTTACTGAATCACCGTTCACGGCGTTATTTCGTGTATTTCTTTTAATCGAAATATCGGATATCTACACAGGGAATTCAGTAACAAATGAATGCTAGGTTTGCATGTCTCAATGCCAAGCGAGTGCTATGTTTGCATGTTGCAATGCCTGACGTGTGCTATGTTTGCATGTTGCAATGCCTGGTGTGTGCGATGTTTGCATGTTACAATGCCTAGTATGTGCGATGTTTGCATGTTTCAATGCCTGGTGTGTGCGATGTTTGCATGTTGCAATGTTTCACGTGTGCGATGTTAGCATGTTTCAATGCCTGATGTGTGCGATGTTTGCATGTTTCAATGTCTGACGTGTGCGATGTTTGCATGTTACAATGCCTGGTGTGTGCGATGATTGCATGTTTCAATGCCTGATGTGTGCGATGTTTGCATGTTGCAATGCCTGGCGTGTGCTCTGTTTGCATTTTTCAATGCCTGATGTGAGCGATGTTTGCATGTTGCAATGCCTGACGTGTGCGATGTTTGAATGTTGCAATGCCTGGCGTGTGCGATGTTTGCATGTTACGATGTTTGCATGTTACAATGTCTGGTGTGTGCGATGTTTGCATGTTACAATGTCTGGCGTGTGCGATGTTTGCATGTTACAATGTCTGGCGTGTGCGATGTTTGCATGTTTCAATGCCTGGCGTGTGCGATGTGTGCATGTTACAATGTCTGGTGTGTGCTATGTTTGCATGTTACAATGTCTGGTGTGTGCGATGTTTGCATGTTTCAATGCCTGGCGTGTGCGATGTTTGCATGTTTCAATGCCTGGTGTGTGCGATGTTTGCATGTTACAATGTCTGGTGTGTGCGATGTTTGAATGTTGCAATGTCTGGTGTGTGCGATGTTTGCATGTTTCAATGCCTGGTGTGTGCGATGTTTGCATGTTACAATGTCTGGTGTGTGCGATGTTTGCATGTTTCAATGCCTGGTGTGTGCAATGTTTGCATGTTACAATGCCTGACGTGTGCGATGTTTGAATGTTGCAATGCCTGGCGTGTGCGATGTTTGCATGTTACGATGTTTGCATGTTACAATGTCTGGTGTGTGCGATGTTTGCATGTTACAATGTCTGGCGTGTGCGATGTTTGCATGTTACAATGTCTGGCGTGTGCGATGTTTGCATGTTTCAATGCCTGGCGTGTGCGATGTGTGCATGTTACAATGTCTGGTGTGTGCGATGTTTGCATGTTACAATGTCTGGCATGTGCGATGTTTGCATGTTTCAATGCCTGGCGTGTGCGATGTGTGCATGTTACAATGTCTGGTGTGTGCTATGTTTGCATGTTACAATGTCTGGTGTGTGCGATGTTTGCATGTTTCAATGCCTGGCGTGTGCGATGTGTGCATGTTTCAATGCCTGGCGTGTGCGATGTGTGCATGTTACAATGTCTGGTGTGTGCTATGTTTGCATGTTACAATGTCTGGTGTGTGCGATGTTTGCATGTTTCAATGCCTGGCGTGTGCGATGTGTGCATGTTTCAATGCCTGGTGTGTGCGATGTTTGCATGTTACAATGTCTGGTGTGTGCGATGTTTGAATGTTGCAATGTCTGGCGTGTGCGATGTTTGCATGTTTCAATGCCTGGTGTGTGCGATGTTTGCATGTTACAATGTCTGGTGTGTGCGATGTTTGCATGTTTCAATGCCTGGTGTGTGCGATGTTTGCATGTTACAATGTCTGGCGTGTGCGATGTGTGCATGTTTCAATGTCTGGTGTGTGCGATGTTTGCATGTTTCAATGCCTGGCGTGTGCGATGTGTGCATGTTTCAATGCCTGGCGTGTGCGATGTTTGCATGTTACAATGTCTGGTGTGTGCGATGTTTGCATGTTTCAATGCCTGGTGTGTGCAATGTTTGCATGTTACAATGTCTGGCATGTGCGATGTTAGCATGTTACAATGTCTGGTGTGTGCGATGTTTGCATGTTACAATGTCTTGTGTGTGCGATGTTTGCATGTTACAATGCCTGGCGTGTGCGATGTTTGCATGTTACAATGTCTGGTCAATCAATCCACTACCTTCAGAGTGCAGATTATTAGAGAATGGTGATTGATGAAAATTGGATTTGGGTTCCTGTGGTGTATATGAATGTATGTACTTTCCTTTACATCTTAGGGGCACGGGTGACCCTGTCGTCTAAGGTGAAGGAGATTCCTTCCCTAGAGCTGTGTCCCTTAGACTTGCGGGTATGCTATGATTCTGGGTTCTAATCCTAGATTGGCATCGGTTATGTTTTGGTTTATGAGCACGTTCTCGTGGGTTTCACCAACCACCTCCACTGTCTCGTGGATCGATCTGTCCGGAGAGCGGAAGGTCGGTGGTTCAATCACAAAACGCGTCAAACCAAAAGACGTTAAAACGGCCAGCCGTTCAGCAATAAGGGGATAAAACATAGACTGGTGGGCTATGAGCCAGTACAACGTGTCTGAGTTGGGAATCCGTGTTTAACTAGGGCATAGCATAGGTCCGGACTAGTACAAGCAGCAACACACACACATGTGCATGCACTTCACTGTGCATAAGTGCAAAAATCTTTAAAGGGATGTAAGCCACATTTCACCTCACCTTACTTAGTAGGCACTATAAATTATTTAAACCCCTGGGAGAAAGCTACAAAGGTTACTCCCAGTGGTTCTTGGTAAAATATTTAATACAGTTTATTCGATTATATTATGAAAGGGTTGTATTTCAGAAGTTAGTGATATATTTGAAATGGCTGATAACAGAAGCGGCCTAGATAAAAATAGTTAAGGGACTGATTTTTGCTTTGAAAATAGCTTTTATTCCAGAAAATGGTTGGCTTGAAGCGGGGAAAATCGCTTGACAAACAAGTGTCAATGTTTAGTTCTGCCTCATAATGAGATGATTGCTATATTGGCCTGATTAGTGTCAGCTGAGACATTAAAAGGAAATCAAGTTCTAGTTTTGCTCGAACTGAATCCTTTCAAACAAACATGTATCCTCTCTTTTCGTGTATCCAGCAGTAGGTAATAAAGCATGAGTAAGAATACAATGTAATTGTTGTTAAAAAAAATCTAAACATTTCACGATTGCAAACCCTGCGATTCGAACCCCTCTTCATGTTTGTTCGAGTTTCATGAATGTGTATTGTCAGTCTTCAGACGAGTTGCGTCCCTTAGGAAAGTCACATGATCAAAAAGAAACAAAATGTCGTCGGAGAAGTTTGAGTCACTCGAAGATGACTTGACAGCCATAATCGATGATATCAAATTGAAATTAGAAAGGAAAATTCCTCATTATGTTGGAGGTAAACTATAGTGGACACCAGGACGATTTCAGTTGAAATTATGTTGAATCTGATCATTGATAAAAATCGGAGAAACTGCTAATCCTGAAATGCATGATTAAAAAAAGAATCGCTCTTGATCAACCGATCATTGAACGTGTAACAGTCACTTAATGTTCATACGATGTAAGATACCATACACATGGGCTATGCGACATAACGATCAGGATTCATTACATATTAATAGCTAGGGTATCTATTTTCAGGATATTCAAGTTAACTGGTTGCAGGAAATGTGGCTAGATCTAGTAGCACCTCTAAAACATGTAAAATAACTATCGTCAACCCAGACAGACTGTTTTCTCATTGTCACGCGATCAGCGATTGAACCGTAGTCATTAATACAGTACAGTCACATATTGTAAATTTAATGTTCCGTCTTCCGATGATCAGAGACCATATATTGGTATATGTTCTCTGCGATGATCGATCATTATCATGGACTCGTGATCATCAAATGATCAGTTATAGCAGGAAAATAAATTTCCTCATAGATCTACATAGTAGAGGAGCAAGGGGTATGTATCCCTTTTTATGCAGCTTAATATATTAAAGTCAATGTATAACAATACTATCACTAACTCATATGATGTTAGGGGGCACGGATGGCCCAGTCGTCTAAGGCGCCGCGATTCGCTGTGCAGAGTTGCGTCCCTTGGGCACGCCAGAAACCTATGATTGTGGGTTCGAATCCCGGTTCGCCCCGATTATGTTTCTAGGTTTGTCAGCACCATACCCGTGCTCATGGGTTTCACCAAAGTGGTAAACGTCTGAGACCTGCATCACTTCGGGCTTTCCTCCCACATTAAGCTGACACGCCGTGATATGACTGGAATAAAGTTAAAAGCAGTGTTAAACCCATCTCACTCACTCACTCACTCATATGATGTTATATATTTAACAAAATTACACAATCGCTGATCATGAATCATAGATAACAAAATACACCCCTCATTTTCAAACAACTGTATCCGCACTGGTTGTCAAAAGCAGCGTTAGAAATTGGGACTTGTCGTATTGTCCTTGCCAAACTGCCCAATATTTAAGATATCATAAGGACGAGTAGAAATTTGTAAGTGTTTTACTATATGTTATCTTTATAAAGACGAGTGAACTAAAACTGTTAGTTTTTACCACTGAAAAGCTGACTGGCCCAACTTAAAATGTAATTTTACTTAAAAGTATCCATCATTTAGCTGTTATCCTGTCATGAAAATGCAACACACAATGATGTAAGCCCAGAGAATAGGCATTATCTTGTACGTGTAAGTACACCAGACATTAACCATGGGCCCATGCAACAGGTAGCTATCAAGAGTTCATTCAAAGAGACTTGTCACAATATGGCTGCAATATTGCCGACGTGACGTTAAATTTTAATTCACTCACTCATTCAAAGAGATGCTTGATCGCAAGATGAGATTGTTAACTTCACTTGGTTCCTACCTGTAAAGTCCAGGTTAGGATCAGTTGATCTTCAACCCATGCTTGTCGTAAGAGGCCACTAACAGAATCGGGTGGCCAGGCTCACTGACTAGGTTGATACGTGTTATTGTATCCCAATTGTGTAGATTGATGCTCATGACAATCACTGGATTGTCTGGTCAAGATTTGATTTTTTACAGACTGCCGTGATATAGCTGGAATAATGCTGAGTGCGGCATTAAACAGCAAGCAAACAAATACTGTACTTGTTTTCTCTACACAAACGTCCCAACTGATAGTAATAAAACTGGGTCCCATTCCACAAAGCTTTCTTAGCACTAAGATGATCATAACTCCCATAGTTTAACAAAGACTTACTACAACTGTAGTGTTGAGATCACTTTGTGGAATCGAGCCCTTGTGTCTTGTGCAGGGAATGGCAGTGTGAAATTGTTAGGTCACCTGCTACTTTTGGTCTTCTAGCCTTTTTGCATGGCTTATAGACATTTTAAAAAATTACACAAAATAGTTGTCAATTCAGTCAGAAACTATGGGAATCCTTAACATAAGGATATGTATTGGAAAATCTACCAAACTTTTGTCATTTCCAGTTCCATTTGTTTCACGGACACATTAACCATGTGTATCCATCATCTGTTATGGTTTGGTTTTAAGATTATTGTTATGAGATATTAATGAACTGTGAAAATAGTCTAAACACTTCTATGTTTTCTGGTCATGCTAACTATTTTTTTTTAAATAAATCTTGTGCATTTCAATAGAGGCTGTATTCTGATTTAATTAATGTTCTCACTTTTACTTCCAGAGGAGAAAAAAAGTGCGGTCCGGCAAGTTGAACGGAAACTGGAGGATGCACATCTCATTGTAAGTTATTGCTTGCTGTTATCAAGTTGCTAATAGAATCAGAAAAAGTAAAATGAAAGTTTCTAAACAAGGACTGTCCCCTACCTTTGCCTGTCAAGGCCACCTTGTCTAACAAATTACCAAATTTGGGATTGCCTTTGTTTTCAAAACTATAAGCAAGTGCAGGAACAGTCACGTGTTGGAGATTGTTGACAAATACAGAGCTCCAGATAAGCTTTTGGTGTTGTGGGTATTTTACCCATGCATTTTATAATCATTAGGTATCAGTAATTCTATCTGGGTATTCTAATTTCTGTTACCCACTAGTTTTTACACATGTGGGTATTTAAGTTAAATATTTAAAAACACTATTCATCTAGTCCCTGCAAACTGGTGTCGTGTGGGTTCGAGAGCTATATAGGACTCAAAAATACCACGATACTTCCACAAGAAAGTGTGATGGCAAATGATGTAACTGTCATCGTGGAATTTGGCAAGGTTGACGGAATGTCCGTTTATAATTTCAAAATAAGTTGCTGATTTGCTAATCGAATACGCAGGGTTACTTAACAATATTTTGATGATACGCACAAGTTTTATTTTTGTAGCGAATCTGTAATGTTCGTTGCGTATTTGATACGCTTGGATTTTATTTTACTGCGTATTTCTGCATTTTTAATGCATATTTTACGCAGATACACAGCTTATCTGGGACTCTGCAAATATCATGGCCAGTGGTTCATATTGGTGAAGCATTTTCATCCCAGTATCAGCTGAAAGCTAGGCTTTGAGCTATGGGACCGCCTCCATGGTCTAGTGGTAGAGCGTCCGCCCGGAGAGCGGAAGTTCTGGGGTTCAGTCCCCGGCTGCATCATACCAAAAGACGTTAAAAGATGGTACTTGTTGTTATCCTGTCTGGCGCACGGCATTAAGGTGCTAAAACAAGGACTGGTCGGGTCGGAGTCAGTATACTGTGTCTGAGTGGGATATTCTTGTTAAACTGCGGTATGGTATCTCAGTGAGCTAGCACTATAAATCGGCATCAGTCCGGACTAGTACAAGCAGCCACACAAAAACACACACACGTACATGCACGTCGCTATATAAGTGCAATAATCTTGGACGCGACGTTAAACCCCATTTCACCTCATCTTTAAGGTATGTTTTGTTTGTTTGTTTTGTTTGTTTGTTTAATGCCGCACTCGCCAAAGCCGCACTCAGCAATATTCCAGCTATATGACGGCGGACTGTATATAATCAAGTCTGGACCAGACAATCCAGTGACTGACATCATGAGCATTGATCTATGCAATTGGGATACGATGACATGCATCAACCAAGTCAGCGAGTCTCACCACCCGATCCCATTAGTTGCCTCTTACGACAAGCATAGTTGCCGTTTAGAGCAAGCATGGGTTGCTGAAGACCTATTATAACCCAGATTTTCAGGGGTCCTTGAGCTATGTAGCCTTATTGCATTGGTTTTAATGCTTGTAATTAATGGTTTCACAACAAAGACAGAACTGTATATTGTAAGTTACCTCCGTGGTCTAGTGGTAGAGCATCCTCCCAGAGAGCGGAAGGTTTAGGGTTCGATCCCCAGCCACGGCATACCAAAAGACGTTAAAAGATGGTACTTGTTGTTACCCTGTCTCAGCATTAAGGGGCTAAACAAGGACTGGTCGGCTTGGAGTCAGTATACTGTGTCTGAGTGGGGTATTCATGTTAAACTGCACCATGGTATCTCTGGGCTAGCACTATTAATCTGCATCAGTCCGGACTAATACAAGCAGCCACATACACACACATGCATGTATGTCGCTATAAAAGTGCAATAATCTTAAATGCGACGTTAAGCCCCATTTCACCTCACCTCGTTTAGGTGAGTACTGTTAGGAAGGAGTGAGTGAGTATGGTTTTACGCCGCTTTTAGCAATATTCCAGCAATATCACGGCGAGGGACACCAGAAATAGGCTTCACACATTGTACCCATGTCGGGAATCGAACCACTAGGCTACCCGACCGCCCCTGTTGGAAGGACCATTGGTCTGAATGCATATTAGATACTTGTCATGTTTAGAACTTATGGTCCAGATGATTATTACTTTATTCAGTCAGTTACTGACAGCTGTGATTGTTACACACACACACACACACACACACACACACACACACACACACACACACACACACACACACACACACACACACACACACACACACACACACACCTGCAGTACAATTTGCTGGGTGTATTAAAATGGACACTGTCCATCCATGCATCTGTCTGTCTGTGTAAGATGTCGTTTCAGGAGCAGATCTTGAAATCCATTCAATGTTTCTTCACCAAACTTGGTTCAAATATAGGTCTAGTGGTGAACTGGTGCTGTTAGATAGTTTGTGATTTTAGAAAAATGTATTTTTCTAGTTTGAAATGGTGGTAGTGCTTGTTTCCGGAGCAGATCATTAAAACTGTATAATACTTCTTCACCAAACATGGCACATGGATTGGTTTAGTGGTGAACTGGTGCCGTTTGATAATTTGGGATTTTTGAAAATTTTATTTTTGAGTTTCCATGGCAACAAGTTGCATATGTTTTTTCACGACAAGTATTTACCATTGCAACATGCTTAATGACTTTGTCCTTTTCTTGTTTATTTTCAGCTCCAGGAAATGGAAAGTGAAGCCAAGATAGCTCCAGTGAGCTACAGAACCCAGATGCTGGGGAAGATCCGCAACTACCGGAGTGACGTGGAGGGCATGACCAGAACACTGGTGAGATCTTCTCCTTGCTTACTCTAATCGGTATGATGTTAGTCATCTTCCCAAGGCAAGGGAGTTAACCATAAAAGTCCAGTTTCCACCCTTGCCGAACTAGGCTGCAATTATGGAGTTGTAGTTTAGTTAACAAACAAGTCTGTGCATAGACCAATCAAAATCATGTAACAAAATCAATATCCAGTTCTTAAACAACATCGCGACTGCCATGCAGATTTCGGTTGATTACAAGATTTACAGATGGCGTCGACAGAAGTCTTTTCATGTTCTTACTCAAGGTGCTCAAGTGATTTGATGTGCATAACGAGGTATGACCAGTTTTATGACAATGAAGATCATGATTATCAATCAGATCATCTTGACTGGGTGCCGCCATTTTGTTTGAAGCAAATGTAAGTGATATGAAAGGTGGAATCTGATTGGTCAGTAGGTGGGACATAAATGGGGCATTAGTCGTAATAGCCACTGTCGGTGCTACGATCAAGCCACAAAATTCAAGCCTAGTCAGTTAACTCCCTTGCCTTGGGAAGATGGATGTTTGTATCTTGGTGTAGTATTACGAAATATTCAAAGATGATAACTGGTGTCATATACTTGTTGTGTTGCAGAAGAAAGGCAGCGGAGGAGGAGGAAGAAGCTCAGACAACTTTGGGTTTGATAGAGAGGATGTGAGTGGCATCTTAAAATGTCCTAGAAAATAAACCAATGTAGAATCCTGCTTCATATATGATTTACTTAAGGTGTCTGGATTGGCATATTCACATATTTCTTCTAATGAAATGTTAAAATTTTTCTTTAGATCCAATAATAGAAGGTTAGAAGAATGTAATCCGAGCTAAAACTTAAATGGAAAAGGGTTAATTTTGATATGTTTTTTTTGGCGCAAAAATGAGAGAGTGATGAGTAGCCAGGTTTGGTCACATGCTTCCGGTGCGCATGCTCAGTCCAGGAGTGTGTTCAGGTGAGATGTTTTTTCTGTTCTCCGGGAACGCAGTTCAGGAAGTTTCCACTCCCTTTCAGAAATGAGTAGAGATAAGCACTAAGTAGGAGTCAGGATAAGTATAAATAATATTTTTACCCTAATGGTCAGATTTTGTAGATGATATATTAGGATTTAGAAATTCAGTTTCTTCAGAAAGAATTGTGTGACATCCAGCCAGACACCTTATGTATTGATGTATAAAGCAGGATTTCGGATCGGTTTATTTTCTAGGACATTGACTGATTATGTTTGTAGTACAAAGTGTCCTGAAGATTTTATTCAAATCTGGTAATTGTTTAGGATTAAAATTTGATGAAATCAGATTAATGCTTTTTTTTCTGTAGCAAAATCACTGATACAGCATTATCATGATTGTTCTTACCACACATTTTCACCTGACTTTGTGTTGCCCAGATTCCAGTATTTACTGGCTGCACTGATAAACTGTACAATTGCTGACCATGTTGCCTGTGGCATCAAATCGCATTCTATCAGTCACTCAAATCATCTTAGCTCAACAAGTTATTTCTGTAGTCAGTGCTCATTCATAGGAAAGAGTGTTGAGTTGTGATACAGCCATGTTGAATGTTATATATTTTAGAGAATTGAAGCCTCCCAGCGAAGTAAGCTATTACAAGGTCACCAGTCATTGACAAGAACATCAGAGAGTATTGCACGATCACAACAAATAGCTGCAGAGACGGATCAGATCGGTGTGGAGATCATCGATGAACTGGGACAACAGAGAGAAACCCTTGTCAGGACACGGGAGAGGGTATGTTCTGTTATGTTCTGTTATGTCACAGGGGGTATGATCCCGTTATGTTCTGTTATGTCACAGGGGGTATGATCCCGTTATGTTCTGTTATGTCACAGGGGGTATGATCCCATTATGTTCTGTTATGTCACGGGGGTATGATCCCGTTATGTTCTGTTATGTCACAGAGGGGTATGATCCTGAGGTGTTCTGTTATGTCACAGGGGGGTATGATCCTGATGTGTTATGTTATGTCACAGAGGGGTATGATCCTGATGTGTTCTGTTATGTCACAGGGGGGTATGATCCCGTTATGTCACAGGGGGGAATGATCCTGATGTGTTCTGTGATGTCACAGGGGGGAATGATCCTGATGTGTTCTGTGATGTCACAGGGGGGTATGATCCTGTTATGTTCTTTTATGTCACAGGGGGGTATGATCCCGTTATGTTCTGTTATGTCAGAGGGGGGTATGATCCCGTTATGTTCTGTTATGTCAGAGGGGGGTATGATCCTGATGTGTTCTCTTATGTCTCAGGAGAGGGTATGATCCTGATGTGTTCTGTTATGTCACAGGGGGGTATGATCCCGTTATGTTCTGTTATGTCAGAGGGGGGTATGATCCCGTTATGTCACAGGGGGGTATGATCCCGTTATGTTCTGTTATGTCACAGGGGGGTATGATCCTGATGTGTTATGTTATGTCACAGGGGGGTATGATCCCGTTATGTCACAGGGGGGAATGATCCTGATGTGTTCTGTGATGTCACAGGGGGGTATGATCCCGTTATGTTCTGTTATGTCACAGGGGGGTATGATCCCGTTATGTTCTGTTATGTCACAGGGGGGTATGATCCTGATGTGTTCTGTTATGTCACAGGGGGGTATGATCCCGTTATGTCACAGGGGGGAATGATCCTGATGTGTTCTGTGATGTCACAGGGGGGTATGATCCCGTTATGTTCTGTTATGTCACAGGGGGGTATGATCCTGTTATGTTCTTTTATGTCACAGGGGGGTATGATCCCGTTATGTTCTGTTATGTCAGAGGGGGGTATGATCCCGTTATGTTCTGTTATGTCAGAGGGGGGTATGATCCTGATGTGTTCTCTTATGTCTCAGGAGAGGGTATGATCCTGATGTGTTCTGTTATGTCACAGGGGGGTATGATCCCGTTATGTTCTGTTATGTCAGAGGGGGGTATGATCCTGATGTGTTCTGTTATGTCAGAGGGGGGTATGATCCCGTTATGTTCTGTTATGTCACAGGGGGGGTATGATCCCGTTATGTTCTGTTATGTCACAGAGGGGTATGATCCCGTTATGTTCTGTTATGTCAGAGGGGGGTATGATCCCGTTATGTTCTGTTATGTCACAGGGGGGTATGATCCTGATGTGTTCTGTTATGTCTCAGGAGAGGGTATGATCCTGATGTGTTCTGTTATGTCACAGGGGGGTATGATCCTGATGTGTTATGTTATGTCACAGAGGGGTATGATCCTGATGTGTTCTGTTATGTCACAGGGGGGTATGATCCCGTTATGTCACTGGGGGGTATGATCCCGTTATGTTCTGTTATGTCACAGGGGGGTATGATCCTGATGTGTTCTGTGATGTCACAGGGGGGTATGATCCCGTTATGTTCTGTTATGTCACAGGGGGGTATGATCCTGTTATGTTCTTTTATGTCACAGGGGGGTATGATCCCGTTATGTTCTGTTATGTCAGAGGGGGGTATGATCCCGTTATGTTCTGTTATGTCAGAGGGGGGTATGATCCTGATGTGTTCTCTTATGTCTCAGGAGAGGGTATGATCCTGATGTGTTCTGTTATGTCACAGGGGGGTATGATCCCGTTATGTTCTGTTATGTCAGAGGGGGGTATGATCCTGATGTGTTCTGTGATGTCACAGGGGGGAATGATCCCGTTATGTTCTGTTATGTCACAGGGGGGGTATGATCCCGTTATGTTCTGTTATGTCACAGAGGGGTATGATCCCGTTATGTTCTGTTATGTCAGAGGGGGGTATGATCCCGTTATGTTCTGTTATGTCACAGGGGGGTATGATCCTGATGTGTTCTCTTATGTCTCAGGAGAGGGTATGATCCTGATGTGTTCTGTTATGTCACAGGGGGGTATGATCCTGATGTGTTATGTTATGTCACAGAGGGGTATGATCCTGATGTGTTCTGTTATGTCACAGGGGGGTATGATCCCGTTATGTCACAGGGGGGTATGATCCCGTTATGTTCTGTTATGTCACAGGGGGGTATGATCCTGATGTGTTCTGTGATGTCACAGGGGGGTATGATCCCGTTATGTTCTGTTATGTCACAGGGGGGTATGATCCTGTTATGTTCTTTTATGTCAGAGGGGGGTATGATCCCGTTATGTTCTGTTATGTCAGAGGGGGGTATGATCCCGTTATGTTCTGTTATGTCAGAGGGGGGTATGATCCTGATGTGTTCTCTTATGTCTCAGGAGAGGGTATGATCCTGATGTGTTCTGTTATGTCACAGGGGGGTATGATCCCGTTATGTTCTGTTATGTCAGAGGGGGGTATGATCCTGATGTGTTCTGTGATGTCACAGGGGGGAATGATCCCGTTATGTTCTGTTATGTCACAGGGGGGGTATGATCGGGTTATGTTCTGTTATGTCAGAGGGGGGTATGATCCCGTTATGTTCTGTTATGTCAGAGGGGGGTATGATCCTGATGTGTTCTCTTATGTCTCAGGAGAGGGTATGATTCTTATATGTTCTCTTATGTAACAGGGGGGTATGATCCTGATGTATTTTGTTATGTCATGGGAGAGGGTATGATTCTGTTATGTTCTGCTGTCTCATTGGAAAGGGTATATTTTTTACTTATCCTGCATTACTCCTTAATGCATTCACTGCTTACTTACGACAACTAGAAGGACAGCGCTGCGAAGGTCCTGGGTGAAGAAATAAAGTTGTTGTTCTCAAGTCCCAATCAGTGGCCTTCCGTCGCTGTCCTGTGACCTTGATGACACCTAAGGTCATCTTCACATCACTGCTTGTCGCAGCACAGCTAGGACGTGTCCAAGCGGAGCTCTCCTTTTGGATTAATTTTAGACCTTCAGTTTGTCTACAATCTTAAAAATTGATCTGCGATGGGTGATGTATTCTTTTCATATTACTTTCACCATGTTGTGTAGTTTTATATGAATTAATTAGGCGTGAAAAGACGCTTGTCTTTTTTCCCGCCAAAATATTGTTGTTCGCCGCCATTTTGAATTGTGTTACAATCGTTTGCCTGCCAAGGTAGTCATATTGTTTACAATTCTCAGCTACGTATGTATAACATATTCTTATGTTCTTAAATATTACTAGCTTTGGCGTAACAGTGAGTTGCGTATACTAAAATTATTGTATACTTTTTCAACTCGTTAAAAATATGGTTGCCGATAGATTAATATCAAATCTACGGCTTTCTTCCAGTCCCGCTTCATCAACAATTCTTTTATTGCGTACCTATGTTTATGCGATTAAATAGTTTTTTGTTGGTATTTTTGGTTTTACATTGAGTTGCGTATATGAACTATTGTATACTCTTGCAACTCGTAGTTTTTGCCGATAGATTATTGTTCAATTCTATGGCATTCTTCCAGTACCGCCTCATCAACAATGGCGTAATTGTGTTTAATTTAAACATATTTTATTGACATATATGGTCAACGGGATTGGGCAAAAGTTATCCAACTTAGGTGGCCCTTTCCCTACTCTATATGTACAGACATTGAATATACATATATATATGTAATTGTGTAACTTATGATTGAGCGTGGTATTAATTGTCGTGGGAAAAATCTTACAAAGATTATCATCCACGTTGTTTGGTTTGCGCGCAGATGTGCTCTCCAAACCCTAAATGAAAATATAAATACCCTTGGTTTACATTGGGTTGCGCATACAAAAATATTGTATATCCTTGCAACTCATAAATTTGCCGATAGATTAGTGTTCAAATTCTTCGGCACTCTTCCAGTATTATCTCATCAACAAGGGTTTCATTGCATAACATACCTTTGAGCATTTTACTAATTGTCGTGGAAAAAACCTTACAAGATTATCATCCACGATTGGTTGGTTTGCGCGCGGATGTGCTCTCCAATCTCTAAATGTAAATAGCCTTGGTTTACATTGAATTGCGTATATAAAAATATTGTATACCCTTGCAATTCGTATTTTTGCCGATAGATTACTGTTCAATTCTACGGCATTCTTCCAGTACCATTTCTTCAATGGTTTAATTGCGTAACATAATTATGTTTGCTCGGTGTACATATTGTCGTGGAATAATCGCCCAAAGCTCTTTATCCACGGTCATAGGCATGCACGTAGATGTGCTCGCCAAAATTCAAAATGTAATTTTTATGTAAATCTCTAATCCAACGAGTTTACTATATAAAAGCAGATTACTCACAATCATATTTTGCAGTTATTCCGTCGTGAGACGAGAGGAATGTCACTATCGCAGAATAGCGAATGACATATGGTTCTGTCATTACCACCCAACCGTTATTATCGGCAGGTATTATGACGACTGTGATTGCAGAAGTACACCATCCACCGAAATCAACAATACCGGAGGATTTTGTGAGTATCGTAACTGCTCCTATTTTTTCAGCCGCCGGACACTTCCAGATACATGTATGATAATCTGTGACGTCGGCGACAGCACCAGCGTATCGAGATGCTATGATGGGGGTAGATTAGACACAAGCCTTGATCCAGTCAATACTTTTGAGCTTTGTGTCTGATTTATCTGCGCCGAGCGCAGCACTTGACTACAACCAAAGCACTTCTATTACGCAATCGGCGCACGATCAGCTTAGCGCTGTTCCAACATATCCAGCATAGACCTGCGCCGAGCGCAGCGTCTGACTGATACCCAAGCGCTCCTATCACGCCAGTGACGCACGATCAGCTTAGCGCTGTTCCAACATATCCAGCATAGACCTGCGCTGAGCGCAGCGTCTGCGTATCAATCAAGGTCTCTACAATGACGTTAGCCCAAGGCTTACAGTGTACCGGTTACGTAACCGGCACATGATCAGCTTAGCACATGTACCCGATTGGGAAGCAGACCATCTCGTGTCAGTAACGCCTTCCCCTGATAACAGGGTAAATAAGAGGGACACCACGAGGTCATTGGAGGAAGCCTTCTCCAAAACTCACATTTGCTCCGTGATTTAAGCGACCAATATCGTCAATGTTTGCAGTGGATCAGAATCTATTAGAGGATAACCCTATCTGATTAGATCACTTCCAAACTATGGTGTTTTTCCTACAGCGTCAGTTTGACCACAGGAAAATTCATCTTGAGACCGTTCTGACGGTGATTACCGTTACACCCAAGACTTTATAGCGTTTCCAACTGAGATGCTGGTTTCAAGGGCAGTCTATTACGTCAACCTTGATCATCTACTCCCCTGTTCAACGAACAGATCGCAGACACGCACGTCAAGTTCCCAAAAAGCTTGGAAAGTCCAAGTCAGGGAATTATAAGCCTAGACGCGCGTTTCTCAGGGAAGACCAGCATTCCCTTACTGAGAAAGGGAGTGGCAGAGACAAGTCTCAAGGACGATTTCGTACTTATCGCACTATATCATGGTGTCCGTATAAGGGTAGAGTTAACCCCACCGTTGACCACAGTTTGATTGGGAAAATCCAACATAGACATACTGTTGGTAAGAAGAGCTGTAGAGTGGGTTCACAACCCAGTCTTTACTCCGGGGTTTTATCCTCACACCTACCTGGTACTCATGAAGGACCCAGACAAGATGAGAATGATCCACAATCTCTGTGTTCAACGAACGTTTTATTCTTCATCAGTCTCGACTATCCATCCCAACCGTAGACTTTTCAGGTCCAGTTCATTGGGGTTCACTACCAATGGTAGTATTTCCCATTTGACATGTCAGTGACACTTATGGCTATTTACAGGAGTAATGAAGCCAATAACTATCTACACGTGATGAACACTTGGTTCGAGTCGTAGATGGAGGGCGATCTACTGTATCATCAACACATGTCAATAACTGGGATAGACAATCAACGAGGCGAAGTCGGGAGTATTCTCCTTCCTTTTGACTTCAGTTCATAGGAGACCTGTTTAAGACAGACCAGGATATCCTATCTGTACCGAGGGACAGATGGCACAAGTTTCTACTTCTTTTGTCATCTACTCTACACCAACCACACACACTTCGCCAGTGGCAAGTGTTGCTAGGGTTAATCACCTCGGCACAGGAGTTAACTAGCATGGGCCGCTTACAACAGCAACCAATTCAATTTTTTTCCTGAACCCTTACATCAGGAGTCAGGATCCACTCAAGGCCATCACTCTACCAACTAAGCTAGAGCCTCAATTTGTGGCGCTGAATGTCTGCGGAGTCTGTTTATTCGGATTTTCCCCGAATACACACCTGTTTGTGGACGTCCCTTTTCAGGGGTGGAGTCTTCACTTACAAGACCAGATAAGCTCAGGGCTATGGCCCGGCGCACAATGGAAGTGGCACATAAACAACTTGGAGTTGGAAGCTTTAATTCTGGCTATATCACATTGGCAGAATCAACTACAGTTAGCCCGACTCGCTATATCCACAGACAACAGCACTGCGGTGTGGTGCCTGTGCAATCGGGGAACAACACACTCCCACTCTCCACTTCTAAGGACATTCAGATTTCTTCCATCTAGTGGATCGGCTGTGACTAAGGTTCATAGTTCAGCACATCCCCGGATGTAGAAACATACTGGCCGATACTTTATCACGTCCAGACAGGGTGGCTCCCACTGAGTGGAAATTTCTCACAGAAGCATTCCAGTTACTGCTTCAGGAATTCAGGCAACCAAACATTGACTTGTTTATTACTTGCCTAGGCCACCAACTCATGACGTATATCTCCCCGTTGCCGGATCCGCAGACTTGGGCGGTGGACGAGTTCAGTATCACTTGGGAAGGGCAAAGAACTAAAACTCTTCTGCCACCACTTTTACTTCCAAGGTGCTACAGGGGATCAAGGAGACAAGGTATCTCGATCTCTCCTTTGGTCGCACCATGGTAACCGGCGAGAGGGTAGTTCGTCAAGCTCGGAAAAATCTAAAACGATTCACTTCCCCTCTCACAGTGGTCCAACCTACTCATCCACCCTCAACAGAAAATTGCCTCACCCAACGTCTGCACGCATGGTTCGTCTTTAAAAGGCGTTTAAGTGCGAAGGGTTATTTCGACACGGGCAGCAAAGCTATAGCTTTAGTTCATCGTTACTCTCCCAGAGACGACGATGACAAGTGGGGATCACTTGAGACTTTTTACAGGGAAGAAAAGAATCAAGACCCTACGATTGCGTCACAATTCCTAGAGGAATACCTCCTACATTGCGTACCCAAAAACACTTGGAAGGTACCACCATTACTACGTAATTGGCTGCAATTATCTTAGTGTTGGCCGTTTCCGGAAAATCACAGTGTGATTAAGGTCACGGAACTACAGGCCATATTATGCTCATTCAGGTTTGAGGATCAGAAGGCCAAGTTCCAGCCACCTGATTGGGACTTGAACGTGGTACTTCGAGGTTTGCGAGGGCCCCCTTCGAGCCCCTCATTGCATCCTCATTTTCAAGCTCCTTCCCAGCGCGTGACACCTTCGTTACACTCTCGGTATAGTATAGAGAGCTCCGCGAACGGGCTATCGCTGTGAGGAGCTTGGACCTCACCAAGGAAACAATGGTTTTCTCTTGGCATTAGCAATGGCGGTACGGGTGAGCGAACTACATGTGGTCGACTCAACCCGGATCCGTTTTGAGCATGGGACGCACGGAACAGGACATCTAGGGTTATGCTGGGATTTTATTGCTAAAATCTACTACCAGGCCAACCCGACCGTTCTTCACCATCCCACCGATATCGACTATTGTGGGAATCGTACATGGTGAAGTTCTCCTGGGCTCGGTGCGAGCAGTTCGAGTTTTCATTCGACGCTCCAAGACAAGGCGTGGTTCGTCCACGACAGAAGTTAGTCGCATAATCGCAAACACCATATCTATATGGTTACGCGCAGTAATCCTTCAGGCCTACGAGATCATCAAACGGAACTCGCCGAGAGCGAATTACCCTCAAGATCTCAAGGTGTCAGCCTTACCAGGGCTCAACACGGCAATTGTGGTTTTGGAACAATCACGGAAGGATATTTCTGGAGATTCGACACATATTTTCGTTAGTCATAACCTTCGCGTTGTGACTCTCGACGATGTCAAAGACGTTCGAAGTTTGGCCCTCTGGTTGTTATCCTGCAGATTGCCAACCACTGACGCAAATAATGAACTCGCCCTATACAGAGCCAGTCAACTTCCATGTGCAGTCACTCAGTCGCCACCAGTGGAAGAATATTAGACAATCTTGTTTGTCAGCGACGGCTCTATGACGCAGTAAGTAAAGAATTAGCTGAATAGCTATTATTTTCTTTATTACTAAGCGTGTATAGGGAATTTCTCTTTAATTCCTATGTTCAATGTTTTTGATTTTTGAACAACCCTACCGTAATGGCGTTTTTGTCTGAACTTTTCCGCTTCACGGTTTTTCGACCAAATGGGGTCGTATTGCAGGGTGTGAATTATTGAGGTTTCTGTATTCTGAAGGTTGACCCACCTCCAAACCGTCCGATACAGATGCATTAAGGAGTAATGCAGGATAAGTAAAAAATTTAGTAAAATCTAAATATTTTTTACATTTGTATACTTATCCTGCATTACTACGCTTAAGGCTTGCCTCCCCACTTTGGCTTCAGAAACCTCAAAAGTATGTTTTTCTAAGAGCTTGGGCGACAGGCAGTGATGTGAAGATGACCTTAGGTGTCATCAAGGTCACAGGACAGCGACGGAAGGCCACTGATTGGGACTTGAGAACAACAACTTTATTTCTTCACCCAGGACCTTCGCAGCGCTGTCCTTCTAGTTGTCGTAAGTAAGCAGTGAATGCATTAAGGAGTAATGCAGGATAAGTATACAAATGTAAAAAATATTTAGATTTTACTAAGATTCTGTTATGTTCTGCTGTCTCATTGGAAAGTGTATGATCCTGATGTGTTCTGTTATGTCACAAGGGGTATGATCCTGATGTGTTCTGTAAAGAAAGAAAATTTAAACTGTGATCCATTATTGGTTTATCAACACCATCAGCCCCCAAAGCTATTGTCAGTTATGATTTTTGGAGTGTTTCCCAACACCACTATTTTGTCTGTAGTTGAGTTGTGTGCCCTCACCCTGTTACCATACTAGGGAGGAACAGGATCCCAGTGGCCCAGCTCATCATAAGAGCCCGCTGTTCATTATCAGATGGTTCCCATGTGCAATGATTATGTGTCATGGTAGTTGGCATTCATTTTGCTCATGCTATCAACCACTGGTTTGCTTGTCCCAAACTCGGTTAAACACAGGCTGTGTGATGAGGCAGGGGTATTGTTGACTGTGATGTCATTTGTTACTTCAGCTTTCGGACACAGATGCGAACCTGGGCAAAAGCAGGAAGATCCTGAAGGGAATGGCAAGAAGGTAAGCACCACGGTCTGCACCAGCTTGAAGTGGTCTTCAATTTGGCAATCCAGACTTGAAAAGGCTTACTTTTTATCTTCCTACAAAGGGCCTCTACATTCAAGGCATTTTGTCAATTTATGGACTTATCGTTTGCTGGCTGATGTCATCACACATTGGACACGTTGGTGAATAGTAATTGTAAAATATTTATTTAACAGCAGATTTAACAATAGTTGCCAAATTCAAGGCATTTGATTGATAAATCTGTTAGGAAGCACACATGGGTCTTACTTTTCGGTGACTTGCTGTCACTGTATAGAAATGATGTGAATTATTGCTCATGATATTTACTAATATATTTGCTGGTGAACAATCCCAATTAGCACCCCTCTGATTGATCAATGTACAAAAGACTTATTTATTCGCGTAGCATACGCAATTAAATTCTGGAAAAATATATCTGTCGTATATAAACATTTCAGGCTGTCAGCATAAACCACAAAATTTATCTTTCAAGGCTGTTTTTTTTCTCACCAAAATAACATTCTATTAAAAGCCCCCAATTTCTAATTTTGAAAGCGCCCTGGGTGCTTATTACGTCGAATACGGTAGATGGAATATTGCTGAGTTTGGTGTAAAACCAACAAATTCTTACTGTAAGATACAATTATTTAAAAATTCATTTTACTGATGTTTATGTCTTTTTTTCCCCCAAAGTAATATTATGCTTTAAATCAAGTGTTGAAATCTCTGCAGATTGATGACCAACAAGATGATTCTGGCAGTGATTATTCTGTTCGAGGTTGGAATACTAGGAGGCCTTGTATACTGGAAGTTCTTCAGTTGATCAGGGCTGGAGTCAGGGCTTGTTTGGCAGTGAGAAAGACACTAAAACAAGATTCAGCCAACTGGTCGGCACTCTGCTGCCATTATCTACAGAGGAACAGCAGAGGGTGTTGGAACTCTGCATAGGAGCTGATCAAGTCAAGGAAACTAATGTCAAGATTTGACTATGTAAAACAATTTTGTTCTCCCTCCCCAGCAATTCATAAAATACTCAGGTCCATGGTAGGATTTTTAAATCTGTGGCATATTTCCTCTCAGGATGATCTCACTGAAAATTTCCATTATATGAATATTAAGAAGAAAATTGGAGTTTCTTTAATTATCACAATCCAGAATGTGAAAAGCTAATGATTAACAGTGATTGACTGATTGTGAGTGAGTGAGTTAAAATCTTAAGTCACATTGGCAATATTTCAGCCATATAGGGACTATTAAGGGCTAAACATGATAAATACATAGGGACTTACATAAACACCTGCCAACGAAGGAGACTGATTGTAGGGTAACCTGGGGCTACAGTAGTGATGGGGGACTGGGGATACAGTAGAAAAGGGGGAAACAAGAATGACCCCCAAGAACCTGGGACCATTCCATTTATCATGTTATGACATCACATTATGACAACATGTGTATATGACATCTCCGACCTGACATCATTTGACAATGAGATTGACTATGTGCCACAAGTTAGAGACTTGCTGCCGATCTGAGATCAGGTGAAATTTACTACCCAAGTACCCGACGTACTATTACCCGACCCAATGATTGCCTCAAGTTTGGTACGAAATGTCAGATTAGGAATTGGTTAAACAGAACCCTGGCAGAAAGTATTTAGATACACATATAAAACAATCTGGTCATGCATACACTGAAATTGACTGAAGCTCTATATTTATTCAAACATATAAAAGTTAAAGGAATGTGTGAAGTCTGAAAGAAATGTGAACATTAGTGACTTGCAATAGTGTAAGCAATATGTCACTTGACTAACCACGGGTCCAGGTAAACCTGTGTGTACCCAGGTCATACTCAGTACCCACCCAACCCATCTTCTTGAGGCAAGGGAGTTAACTGACTATAAAAGTCCAGTTTCCACCCTTGAAGAACTAGGCTGGAATTCTAGTGAGACTATGCACAGTCCAATCAAAACTGTGTAACAAAATCGACACCCGGTTTAAAAAATACCGTGCAGATTTTGGTTTATTGCAGGATTTAGCAAAACGTGCGTGCGCTAACTTTTCATGTTTTTAATCAAGGTGCTCGCTTGATTTGATGCACTTTGTGGAGTTAGATCCATTTTATTACAATATAGATCTTGATTATCGATCAGCTCGTCCTGATAGGAGGGACATAACTCATAATAGCCACTGGTGGTGCTACGATCGAGCCAGGATATTCCAGCCTAGTTCGGCAAGGGGTGAAACTGGACTTTTAAAGTCAGTTAACTCCTTTGCCTCAGGAAGATGGTACCCAAGTTACCCGTCCCAGCCGTAGTAACCAAACCACATGAAACATCATAAAATCGGAGGAAAAGTCAGATTTCTGATGATGCATGTTGAGAGTCTGTGAATCAGCAAGATTAGACTGGGGTGGGGGTGCAGAATTGCAAGACATTCATGATGTGAGATTAGGGACCAAACCGTATAGGCAAGTCAAGGGTATTGGCAACAAAATCCTAAATGAGTACTGATTAATCTTGATTTTAAACATTGGCAGAATCTTAAGGCAAGTAACCGAAAATATGTTAGACCTTTGACATCCATTGACATGATAAGAAAGTCCCACGTAGCATACAAACTGATATGGTCATAGCTTGTGAATAGGATACCAATAGTTGGAACCCTAAAACACTAAAGTTGTTTCGTATGTCAGGCATGCTAGTAATAAGAATTTTCCAGATGTATTAGATGCAGTTTGTATTTTTGCTAAGAAGTAACAAATTCCCCTTTAGAACTTGCACAACTTAGTAATGTTTTAATGTAATTATATCATTTTCCTGAACACGAATTTATCAGGAAACATGGCTTGAGTGTTTTTATTCACTACGCAAAGATATCAAGGGAAACAAAGTGGAATAAGGCTAAAGTGGATTTTGATTTGAATGATGTACATATTGTTATTAGTCAGCTTCTCAAGGCGAGAGCGTCCACTAGCCTTTTTATTAAAGTCTTGTGTCCACCCTTGCCACATCAAGCCCACTTTCCTGTGCTAAATATGATTGGACTATTGCACATATCGATCGTCCGTTTCACAAAATCAACATCCACAACTGTACATCTTCGTATGAAAGTGATTTGCTGCTGCCTGTCTTTGTTGACATGAATATGTCTTCTTCATCTTTTAACACACACACACACACACACACACACACACACCTTGCCTATGTTTTTGTGTCAGGGATGCAATTGCGAATGTTTTCATTTTCTGATCGTGCTTCTGGTAGTCTCGGTGGCAGTCGGGTAGCCTAGTGGTAAAAGCATTCGCTCATCACGCCAAAGATCAGGGTTCAATTCCCAACATGGGTACAATGTGTCCCTCACACACTCACTATGGTAGTCGCCATCTTTGTGAAGCTATTCGAGATAAGAAGTGATCTGATTGGATATCGTGTTTTCATTACAAGGGACACAGATCGTGATCTTTGCAAGATGGTACCAGGGTCGAGCCAAGAAAAGTGGCCTTGATGTGGCAAAGGTAGAAACAAGGTTTTGATATAGGCTAGTGGACACGCTTGCCTCGGGAAGATGATTTTTAGTATGCTCAAGTTTCTGTACACTGATAATGTAAATAATATATTTATTGTGTTCTGATGGCTTGCTGTCATAATGCCCTGTATAGCATGTACCTGCAACAGACATTGTTCAAGACCTCAGCAAATCAGGTCACTGGACAATGAAAATATAGACCTTCAGCGATAATAGTAATATAACTTGAGAAATACAATCTTCAATATTTTTTTCTTATTTAACCTCTGAATGGGCAATTGTTTCCTGAAAGGATGGGAGCCACAAGTGCTTACACATGCTTACAAGTGCTTACAAGATTAAGGACGACCATTTGATCTGTTCCAACATCAGTTTGATTTAGGTTTGAAACTTAAATCAGCTGATCTGAGTTACATTTCCTTGTGGCCTAGCACTTTACCATGAGGTAGTCCGTAGATGGCATTGGAAGGAGCTCAACACATATTGGTTGATAACATTCTTGCATTGTTCACTGACAGCATGTTAATAAGAGCAGGTCATTAAACACTCCAGGTGATCCCATGATTAAATTGTTGTTTTCTCAACTGATCACAGAGCTAAGTTACAACTGCAAGGAGACTTGTTTCCTGCAAAGCTTTGATGCATATAAATCCGTTTCAAGTTCTTGATCAAGCACGTCAAAGTTTGATGCAGATAGATTTAAACATGGTCAATACATGTGAACAACAACCACTGTTTCAACTGAGCTGAATAATAATACATTTATATATTTGTTTACATTTGGCCATGTTTAACCCAGGGGGGTTCAGATGATTTTTTTAAAAGTAAAGTATAGGCAGTCACTCAATTAAGGAATTCACTTTGTCAATTTCAGACATGCATAGATGCTCATGTTATTAACCACTTGTCTGGTAAAACGGAATGGTGTTATGATACAGTAATAATGTTATTATGGAATTCAATAAGTCCATGAAGTTAAATATTATTCTTACTAGCCTGGCACTTGTATTTTTTGTATATCTGTACATTGTCAAATTATTTTGTAAATATTCTTCCAAATAAAAGAATGAAATATATGGGGGTTTTTTATGAACACTTTGAATGGTAAAGGTATTCTCACAGGCTTGTGATTGAAGAATGACAACAAAGATTGAAAAGATTTGCTGAGGAAGGCAAAGAAAATTGACTGTTCAATCAGAAAGATAAGAGGGACCTAACATAGACAACATCAACAGCTGGATGAGTGGAGCCATAGACAACATCAACAGCTGGATGAGTGGAGCCATATACAACATCAACAGCTGGATCAGTGGAGCCATAGACAACATCAACAGCTGGATGTGTAGAGCCATAGACATCAACAGCTGGATGAGTGGAGCCATAGACAACATCAACAGCTGGATGAGTGGAGCCATATACATCAACAGCTGGATGAGTGGAGCCATAGACATCAACAGCTGGATGAGTAGAGCCATAGACAACATCAACAGCTGGATCAGTGGAGCCATAGACAACATCAACAGCTGGATCAGTGGAGCCATAGACAACATCAACAGCTGGATGAGTAGAGCCAGACATCAACAGTTGGATGAGTGGAGCCATAGACAACATTAACAGTTGGATGAGTGGAGCCATAGACAACATCAACAGCTGGATGAGTGGAGCCATAGACATCAACAGCTGGATCAGTGGAGCCATAGACAACATCAACAGCTGGATGAGTAGAGCCATAGACAACATCAACAGCTGGATCAGTGGAGCCATAGACAACATCAACAGCTGGATGAGTAGAGCCAGACATCAACAGTTGGATGAGTGGAGCCATAGACAACATTAACAGTTGGATGAGTGGAGCCATAGACAACATCAACAGCTGGATGAGTGGAGCCATAGACATCAACAGCTGGATCAGTGGAGCCATAGACAACATCAACAGCTGGATCAGTGGAGCCATAGACAACATCAACAGCTGGATCAGTGGAGCCATAGACAACATCAACAGCTGGATGAGTAGAGCCAGACATCAACAGTTGGATGAGTGGAGCCATAGACAACATTAACAGTTGGATGAGTGGAGCCATAGACAACATCAACAGCTGGATGAGTGGAGCCATAGACATCAACAGCTGGATCAGTGGAGCCATAGACAACATCAACAGCTGGATGAGTAGAGCCAGACATCAACAGTTGGATGAGTGGAGCCATAGACAACATTAACAGTTGGATGAGTGGAGCCATAGACAACATCAACAGCTGGATGTGTGGAGCCGTAGACATCAACAGTTGGATGAGTAGAGCCATAGACAACATTAACAGTTGGATGAGTGGAGCCATAGACAACATCAACAGCTGGATGAGTGGAGCCATAGACAACATCAACAGCTGGATTAGTGGAGCCATAGACAACATCAACAGCTGGATGAGTGGAGCCATAGACAACATCAACAGCTGGATTAGTTGAGCCATAGACAACATCAACAGCTGGATTAGTGGAGCCATAGACAACATCAACAGCTGGATGAGTGGAGCCATAGACAACATCAACAGCTGGATGAGTAGAGCCAGACATCAACAGTTGGATGAGTGGAGCCATAGACAACATCAACAGCTGGATGAGTGGAGCCATAGACAACATCAACAGCTGGATGAGTGGAGCCATAGACAACATCAACAGCTGGATGAGTGGAGCCATAGACAACATCAACAGCTGGATGAGTGGAGCCATAGACAACATCAACAGCTGGATGAGTGGAGCCATAGACAACATCAACAGCTGGATGTGTGGAGCCGTAGACATCAACAGTTGGATGAGTAGAGCCATAGACAACATTAACAGTTGGATGAGTGGAGCCATAGACAACATCAACAGCTGGATGAGTAGAGCCATAGACAACATCAACAGCTGGATGAGTGGAGCCATAGACAACATCAACAGCTGGATGAGTAGAGCCATAGACAACATCAACAGCTGGATGAGTGGAGCCATAGACAACATCAACAGCTGGATTAGTGGAGCCATAGACAACATCAACAGCTGGATGAGTAGAGCCATAGACAACATCAACAGCTGGATTAGTGGAGCCATAGACAACATCAACAGCTGGATGAGTGGAGCCATAGACAACATCAACAGCTGGATGAGTGGAGCCATATACAACATCAACAGCTGGATCAGTGGAGCCATAGACATCAACAGCTGGATGAGTGGAGCCATAGACATCAACAGCTGGATCAGTGGAGCCATAGACAACATCAACAGCTGGATGAGTGGAGCCATAGACATCAACAGCTGGATGAGTGGAGCCATAGACATCAACAGCTGGATGAGTGGAGCCATAGACATCAACAGCTGGATGAGTGGAGCCATAGACATCAACAGCTGGATGAGTGGAGCCATAGACATCAACAGCTGGATGAGTGGAGCCATATACAACATCAACAGCTGGATGTCCTGTGTGCTTCCGGGGCAGAAGTTCTCACAAGAGCAGGTGGACTGCTGAAGATCAGATGGTTACAATTCGTGACCTGGCTGATGGTGTGTCAGTGTTCCCTGGCATCTTGGATTGTTCATCCTGTCAACTACCTGCAGGGTTTACAGGTTCTAGGGATAGGACCCCACCGACAAAATGGATTGGGTGGTCAGGCTTAATGTCAG